CTGCTCATCAGCAAAGGCCTCTCATTGGACCGCTGCTCATCAGCAAAGGCCTCTCATTGGTCCGCTGCTCATCAGCAAAGGCCTCTCATTGGTCCACTGCTCATCAGCAAAGGCCTCTCATTGGTCCACCACAGTTTGTTTGTTTTTCTAAATGATTCTTTTCAACCACAATTCAAACCAACGTCTTATTTCACTAAATTATAATTTAGCAAAGTTTTATTTATCATTTTTCCAGTTTCCAGTTATCTGAGTGACGGTTGTGACTTTTGCCTTTTCTTTAGTGGAGGACATGAACACATCTGAGGACGGCTGTATGTAAATGAACTCTTTCCTCAGGTAAACTAAATTTCGCGCCCCGTTAAACCAGGTGTGGAGTTCAGGGTTTATTTCCGATTTCCAGCTCTGGCTCATCGTTGTTTCATGAGCAGGGAGCAGAGATTTGGTCAAATTCTTCCATCAAAGCGTTCGTGAGTGACGCTTCTCTGAAGGCTTCTGACAAGTAATCAGATATCAGTGAGTGAAGCGTGTCAGCTTTGGGCGGAGACGAAGCTCCCAGAAAAACGGCTGGAGGTCTGGATTTGGTGAAATAGGTTGAAGTGCTCTGACGATGAGCTGAACCACGGAGGTCTGACGCTGACTGATCACGACAGAAAGCAGCAAAATCCATTCTGACAGATCGATGCCTCAGAATCTCGTCTAAGATTTCACGTCTGGCCTGAATCCTGCTGGAACTATTTTTAACAATATTACAGCATTTCTCCTTTTTCATTTTATGCATTTTTTATGCACGTTTGCAGTTTTTGAAATACAAACATAACGGACAGTGAAAGCACACGTCTCATATCAATGAACATTAAAAAACAATAAAACTTCCGTTGTTTTGACATCAAAAGACTATAAATGAACAAATATCTTCATAAATTTATGGTAATTTGCTAATATTTCCCTTTCATTAATAGATGCAAATAAAAATACAAAAAATAAACTGAATTAACATGTTTAATGTAAAATGATTTATATTTTTAAAACGTCTAACGTTGAATAGCAACTAAACTTCCTGTTTTTCAACTTAAAAAGACAAAACAAATCATAAATTTATCATAATGTCACAAATATTTCCTTATAATTTACTGGATGCAACTGTTCAATTCAAGGTTAATGTAAATATATTATGAATATTTGATGAAATGATTGACTATGAACAGACACAGAAGTGTTGGTTCTGTAGTTTTACAGAGCGATGTGATGATTACAGTTGAACACTGAAGTCATGTGTTTTCATTGATATATGTGTGATTAGAGTTTTATCTTTTATATATTGTAGGTTATTGAATAGCTTTCAGTGTCCTTCATGAAACATTCAAACTAAAAAGCCCAATACGAGCATGTTATCTGCTGGACTGTGTCTGTCTGTAGACTTATGTTATGTTTCAGTATGTTTTTGGCCCCACAGCTGCTGGAAAACGTCTTTTTTTTTTTTAACTTATTTTTGTCTTATAGTTTCTGAGATCATCCTGTTTTCTGAGAAACGTAGACCAGTCCTGTGTTCATCCACTTCCTGGAAGGTTTCACCGTCCAAAGCACCGTCTGTGTTTCCCCGTTAAAATTCAGATGAAACACCAAATCTGACAGAACCTGATCTGGCGCCATGTTGAGCTGGATTTCAGCCGTCATTCTTCACCCCAGAACCTGCTGGGACATGTTCTGCTCGTCGCTGCTGTTGTCCTGAAACCCAAGGTGTTCAAAAACAGGAAGCGACAGAAATAAAATGGGTCAATTATGACTTATATAACGGGGAAACCTTTTGTGAGGCTCCCTCCACCTCTCCAAAGTTATTTAACAGTATGATTCACATCAAAGCACTCGGGACCCCTGCTGCTAAACTCAAAGGCCAGACAGCCAATCTCCACTCTGACGCTCTAATAACCGTCCCTTTATGAAGTTCATAAAGCCACTCCTCACCGGATCGCTGCAGACGGCGGGCCGGGCTAATAGCTGGAAAAGCAGCGCAGAACGCCACCTCGCCTGGACTCCTTTGAACTGAACCGTATGCAGATTGGACGGGGGGGCGACCGTACGACTGCTGGATCTGAAAAGACTCTCCGTGTGCACGTGCATGTGTGTGTGTGTGTGTGTGTGTGTGAGTGTGTGTGTATCTGTGTGTCCTCATCCTTATCCCGGCACAGCAGGGGACGGACATGAAAGCCTCTCGACGCTGTTTGGTAATTGCAAAGTCCTGCGTTCTGCCTAAACAGCACAAGAGGAGACGACCTCATCAGAAGAACCCGGACAGACGTGCACACACCTTTGGGCCAGCTGACCAATCAATAGCGTTGGCCGTGGAAAAGCATAAAGAAGTGTGCACGGGGCACTTTCTCCTCTCCACACAGGCCTTTCTTTGTTGTG